TAGATAGAATAGAGAGAGAAGATAGATAGAATAGAGAGAATAGAGAGAGAAGATAGAGATAGAGAGAGCTATATATTATATATTGTAAATATAATCCGGGTCTTTCGGTTTCCTCCAAACTCTTCCTTTCCTTGCATTCTGCAGCCAACTCCTACGATTCCTCAGCCTTGAGCCATGACCCTTAAAGTAGTTTCGAACTGCGTTCCTTCTTCAGTGTAGGTGGCACTGGGAAAGCAAGCTTTCGCACCCCAAAGTGACTCCCACGTGGAGCCAGCCAATTCCTGTGGAAAGAGACCCACTCCAGCGCCCTTTGGAATTCTAATTAATGTCTTTGGAAGCCTTTCTTTGCATTAATTACTGCCTTGTAAATGGCCATCATTAAGGCAATTGAGGCGCGCTCGGAGGCGAAATGGGATGCAGGAGGCGCAGTTAGTCTTAATTAAGCGCGGGTGGAAGACGCGGGAGGCAGGAGGGGGCGGGGCCAGGCGAAGCGGAGTCGAACCGTGTTGACTTTCGGCGCCCCAATCGGATCGGAGGGACTCGGAGCAATGAGACAGGCATCTTTCAAGTGCAACATCATCCCTCCGCCCCCCCCCCACCCACCCCCCCGTCTCTTGGGAGAAAGCTGCCATAGCATGAGAAGAACTCCGAATTGCGAATAAATTGGAATATAATAATAATAATAATACCCCGCCCTCTCTCCCCGGAGGGACTCAGGGCGGTTTATATTTTGTATGATATTCGATGTGAAGTGGCTGGATGGTTTTTGTTTGTTTGGTTTGTTTTTTTTAACAAAATTTGAAATAAGTCCCGGTGACATGATGATAATTCCTACAACCCGGATTTGGAAAGATTTTGAGGAATATCTAGAAATAAAAACCAGCAAGAATGCGCCAAAAAAGAGACTATAACTAGATGCATCCACATGGCAGAAATTATGCAAGTTTGACCCCATTTGGGGCCAGGGGTCAATTCTATGGAATCCCAGGAGCTGTAGTTTGATCACCAAGGGCCCTTCCACACAGCCCTATATCAAGGCAGAAAATCCCACATTATCTGAATGTGGACTCGGATAACTCAGTTCAAAGCACATATTGTGGGTTTTTCTGCTTTAATATTCTGGAATATGGGGCTGTATGGAAGGCTCCCACAACCCCTTCCACACAGCTGAATAAAATCCACATTATCCTTTTTGAACTGGATTATATGGCAGTGTGGACTCGGATAACCCAGTTCAAAGCAGATATTGTGGGATTTTCTGCCTTGATATTCTGGGTTATAGGGCTGTGTGGAAGGGCCCAAAGACCCTTTGGTAGAAAGGATAAAGGCCTTGCCAAACTGCAACTCTTAGGATTTCACAACATTGAGCTATGGCAGCTAAAGTGGGGCCAAACTTTGTTATTTTTGCCACGTGAATGTACCCAAAGAGGAAGCCAGTGACTTGCAGAATTTCCTTAGAGTGGAAACAGAAATAGGTATCAGGATCTTATCGAATTCCATATCAATTCAATATCAATTCGATTATTTGCGTTCTCTTCCCCTAGGAGTTTTGAACTGAAATTTTAGCAGTATTGACTTGATTTTTCATCTCAATGGCATTATATATTTCAAGTTGAAAAAGAAAAGTTTAGGAT